GCATAATATAGAAGGAGACTAAATATTACCACAGAGTTTGGGTAAAAAGAAATAATGCGAGAGAGATGTACAATTATGGGACACTTTTGAATGTAGAATAATTTTGTTGGTGCATCCTTTTATAATAAAGAAATATAAGGTCCGTTTGATAAAAATACCCCAATTATGTTCTAATTGTATCAGGAATCTGTCTCCCTGGGCCTCATCCAAAGTTCCAAAATTGTATAGGTTTTCCCGCCCAATTTCATCAGAGTTGCACCCGATTTAACGATGCGATCATTCAATTTCGAGCGAATTTGAATGATCACCGAGATCAACATTCAAAAAGCTAATTAGTTCATTCAATTTAATTGTATAAGCATGCGATTTCATGATTTTCTCACATAAACGTGTAAAAAGCGCGTTCAAATTAAAAATGCAAGTAAATGCATTCAATTTCGCACCTGCACCGCCCTGATGAACGTTAGGGTATTCAAATTGACGAATAGGCAAGCATTTACAGCATTTGGGCAGTCTTTTTCTGTTACTGTTTATATTCTTTGCAATCTGCATCTCTTTGAATAAATTATGCAAACTTTATGTACCTTGAAATGGGACCTTTCCTTAAAGTGAAATATCTCATTCATCTAACAAACCGTCATGTAAACAAATTATGATTTATAACCATTCTGTAAGTGTTATATCCATACTGCTAGGGAGTACAGTAAAACTGGAAAAAAAGATTAGAAAGAAAATAAATATATAGAATATAATAAAAATAAACATGAAACTTTAAGAATGAAAATTAAGTTGTATAATTAAAAATAATGAGAAAAAAAATATGACGCGAAAATATTGCGGAAAAAATATAGAACTACAGAACTTGTTTATGTTAATTTAATTTGAACGTTCAAAGTGCGAAGGTGTGTGCCTATAAATGAAATTGAAATTGGTATTAAGCACGAAATTGAACGTCTATCCAGCTTGCGCGAAATTGAATGACAACTTAGCGGCACTAAATTGGATGGATTTCTCTCTAAATTGAATGAAATAAAATTTTAAAGGAATGATATGAAATGAAATTAAATGCTCAAAGAATGAAAATGAACCATGAGAGCAGAGAGTTGATGGAAACCGTTCGAACTTGAACGCCTATTCATGAAGTCGAATGCAACTCTGATGAAATTGGGCGGGAAAACCTATATTAAAATGTACGTTGCGAAGAATTTAGGGTTATGCAAAAGTGTGTTTTGTTTTTGTAGAATTGAAAGCATTTTATACATTCGAGTGAAGTAGTCACAAAGGCAGATTTCGTTGGGTCGGCCCACTCGGTTCGGTACGAACAGCAAGCTAGTTCATGTTCTTCACGGGGTTCTTCACCGACAGAAGTCATTCCACATGCTTGATGACGCGGAATCAAACTCTGACTCATTCATTGTTAAACCAGACTGTGCATTGTTCGTCCACAACGTGAAAACCCAATTTATTTGTCGAAACTGTATGCAGATCACGTTAGTACAACTGGTAAGAAATGGTAGAAGCGTTTCGGATGATGACAATAAACTGGAAGTTTTTTTGTTTACTTTTCGTGGCATATGCAAATAAAAGCTCTCTGTTTCTCTCGTTCCCTATCCGTTTCTCTTCCACTTGATATCTCATGTACACATACAATGGTCAGAGCCATATCTAAATACAGCTTGGCCAACTTGGTTTCTCAGGAAAATAAAATATCTATATTGTATACACCATCCCTTAAAAATACCAAGGAATATGCAGATCATTATGATAGATTCTTAGTATTTGTCCTGAAAATCAAGTGAAGAGTGTTTCACTGTCCATGTGGGTGGTTTGGTTTAATCATCCCCTTATGCTACTCACCGTAGCTACAGAATGGTTCACCAGATCAGTGCATTATGACGCGCTCCCTTTTGCCGCAATGCGTGTATGGCAGGAATTGAAGCATGAGACGCAAATTTGGGAAATTCCAAAACCATATCTTTAACTTTTGACTACATGCTTTGATAAAATGAAATTCGGATCCTTGTCATCGTATGAAAAAAAATGGCGACCCGATTTATAAGTTGCTCTGCATGTCTTGCAAGCCTACTGTATAAGTCCTGCAATGTAGGCATGATAATACAAATGTACTTCCTTTAAAAGTTGTATTATGCACCGTGCCTTATTGTTTAAAATGATGCAATGTATCTAGGCTTCCACTGAGCCGGGTTTAAATCCATATGATAGTCTTGTTCAGACGAGGTTTTGCTAGTCATCGTAAGTTAATCCCTATAGCAGTAAATACCTCATGTATAGTTGTCCGCACGCTCCTACTCGGACCAACTTGCCACGATTAAAGCTGAAGTTGAGTTCTGGTCATGCGATTGCATTGTGAAAAAAACGGTGTGGAACCGACCAGAAAAGGTTGATCATCTAGCATATAAGAATTTGTGTGTATTGCAAGGTTCTGGAATCATCAAAATGATAAGAAATTTGGCCAAGTCTTGGTAAAGTTACAAACACTTGCACAGAAAGATGTATATTGGACTACACGAACACGTGGCGTAAAAAGCCGGCCCCCGATTTTTACGATGTTACATGCATATTTAGAATATGAAGGCATTTGAAGAGCCATGCTTTTCAGGGAACATGTCTTAACTGATGTTCTTCCACACTTGCATAATAAGAATGAGTAATGCTCACAAATTATTTTTCACCTCTTCCCAGAACTCAACTTCTCTTTAACCCTAATAAGGCCGGGGGGGGGGGGGCCATTATGGCCCCCCCCCCCCTCCACGATTTTTCTGATTGTTCGAGAACGCATATGGATGGCGCCTCGCCGCTCGCTGACTTTTTTCTTTAGAGTCTTGCGCATCTTTAAAAAAAAAAAAAAAAAAAAATCGGACCTATAGTTACAAGGTCACGTGACCTTTTGTCTTTGCATGTCAGCCCGAAAATCGCTCATTTTTGTGATTTGTGTACAAAACATATGGAAATGTCATTTTTCCTAAAAATAGATCAAACATTGGTTATTGGGTCTTGTTTAAAGTTTAGGTGGTTGTTTTGGGAGTCAAAATAGTTGAATTGTAGGAAGAAATGAAAAAAAACAAAAAAACAATAACATAAATAAGTTAAAAAAACAATGAAATACATAAGAAATTATCAAAACAAGAGATAACATAAGGAATAAGCTGGCTCTTCCAATTTTTTTTGTCGTATTATTGTTCTAAATGGTCTAATGAATATATGTAGTGAAAAAGAATGCTTAAATATGAATAATATAGGATTTATGGGTAAAAATGTGATTTTATGACGTTATTTGCATAAATTGCCATAAATATGCAAATGAGGGATTTTTTTCAAAAAATTGAAATTATCATATTGTTCTATACACTTCACTTGACATGCGTGCAAATTTTCGCGGAGATCGGCCGTTTCACGGCCGAGATCTTAGGGGGGGGGGGGGGCCATAATGCCCCCCCCCCCCCGGCCGTAGTAAGACTTCAAATAGCCCGGCCTTATTAGGGTTAAGTTAACACCAGCTTCCACAGACCAGCGTAAATATAGTTCATGATTAGCACATGTCCCAAATGACCCGAATATTCACAGATCTTCAAAACATGAGGCCCCACTTTGTACATTTTGAAATAATCACTCCTACCATGGACCCTACTACAGATGGACTAATAATGAGAGTCTTACTTTGATCACATCATGACCACCGCCACCTGAAAATGTGTATGTTGATTAGGACATTCATTTGACGCGACAATGTTGATTATGTAATCACGCATCATCACAGACAAAGGGACCTTTTACATTTCTTCAGATTATTTTCGCTGGGCCAGGGCCCAGAGGGTATTTTCAGGAAAAGTATCGTAATTTAAGACCAGTTAGGGGAGCAGTGAACCCCAAAATATGACAATGTGTGTGATTTTAGATAGGGGGGGGGGGGGGGGGGGTTGACATTTGAAAAATCGCGTCGACCAATATTTCGCTTAGTGGGGGGTAGGGAGCACTCCAATTTGTTTTCAATTTGAAAAAAAGTGCCAACCAATATATATTTATTTTTATTTTGTATTTTTTTTATTTTTTATTTTTTTGTGGGGGGGGGGGGGGGGGGGGTAGAAAGCACCTTGGCCAGCCCAAGGGGGTATTTAAACCTCCAAATCCCCCTAGATCCGCCCCTGACACGAATGACTCTTCGGTGAGTCTTGTTTCTTCCGATTATTGTTTCTGAACAATAACAACATGAATATGGATATAACATGAATTGTCTTTTTACAACTTATTGATAAATTATTGTTGACATTTGATAAAAAGCCGTTTTGTGGCTTGGTCGAGACAAGTTGTGCTAGTCGTGTAGTCCCGTCTGTACTGTATTGTACTGTATTTTCGTAATGTAATCAAATTTAATACATACGTCTTTGTGAAGTTCCTCAATACAAATTATTTCATTCACCTGTCTAGGATTCGCAATAGTCAGAATGCAAACTGCATGTATTAAGTGTGGCATTACAACTAATGTATGCAGATTGGATTCTGTTTATTTAAATACTATTATTATTATCAGGTGAATGAAATAGTTTGTATCGAGGCACTTGATTCACTTGGGGCGTCATTGAGAACGCCCGTAGATTCGGCCAAAACCCGTTCTAGATTTCAGGGCCTCAGCGGTCATCCAACTGTTACTATAGTATCTTCTCGATTTTGCACACGAACCGCATTTTCTAATTCCGCAATGAGTTTGCGAAAATTCCCTATTACGCAGAGGCGGCAGAACCCGGTTCTAGTTGGACACAATATGGCGACTACTGCTTTGTTGGGCAAGCACAAAATAACAGCATGATGCATTAAAAAACCTTTAGTACTGTATTAGGTGTCATTCCACATATTTGTCAGTCAAGGTAGACGATCTCCTTTTCTTTGCTAGAAAGCTTATGTATGGCTGCGTGGAGTATCATTATTTCGTCACGAATTAAATAAACCACAGTCTTTTTGTTCATATTTTTTCTCTTTCTAATGCAGTTGTTAATTGTGATGTACCAGATGGCGTTGTGCATACTGATTTGCAAAAAACTGCAGAGAAAGGAGATGAGCTAGTTCTGAAATGTCAATTCTATGAAACGCCAATCGCCGTTTACTGGAAGAAAGGAGATGAGCCCACGAAGTCACCCAACCTGATCACGTGGGTGGACGGGGAACCCGCTCTAGGGTCATGCGTTCATGACGGGTCTTGCTATATGAGCGCTGATTTCTCTCTCATCATCACAAACATTACAGTTTCAGATCAAGGAACATATATCTGCAGAGTTTCAAACTACAAAGGGATCTTGATTCACAACTTTACAGAAGTAAACGTCTTCGGTGAGTATATCACTCTGTGATCATTTAACAGTATGACTGAGAATTAACCCTGATAGGATTGTTTGATAAATATCTCTATGCTGTATAATTATACTACCTTTTTTGTTTTAATCATGACAACAAAAAGAGAATATTATTATTTCATGTTCTACACCATAATATTTACTTTTACTATAATATTAATAATGATATTGATATATATCTTCAATTTGAACATACATTTGAAGAAAATAGCTCTTTGCGTTATGATAGTTCTCACTCATACATGATTTTCCTTAATAAACTTAAAGGTAATACAAAGTTTTGGTATGGGCTCATTAATTTGGTTCAAATGAACATATTGGAAGCATATGCGATTTTACAATGTTCAATGGTCGTTGTCGCGAATGAATTCGAGTCTAAAGTGATGAAATCGTAAATAATATACTCTGTATTTGTATAGCGCCCTCTTAAGACTGATATTACTTTACCTTTAAAGCAATGTTTCTCGACTACAGTCGACCGATTTGCTATTCCTGTTTATTTATATATCAGAACTGCATATTCTGAGATTGTCATGGTCGCAGCTATACAGTGCGTTCCAAAAAAAAAAACTATACACTTTTGAAATGGCTGCCGAATAAAAAATATGATATTCTTGAGGGAAAAGTTTTATATGTATAGAAAGCTCATAGACTCAACTTTCATATAACACCAAATTGTCCGAAAATATTTCATGCTTGGGTGAGCACTGCTCACTTTTGTAAAGGGTATGACAATTAGGTTGCGCAGGAATTGGCCTTCCAATTTGAAAGAGGTAAATCCTTTGGAACTTACGGAATTGAGGATGATATGATAAATTTATGATCAATTGTGATGAGTTTGGGTTTGCTGAGTGCAATTTGTGGTTTATGGGATTAATATTTTATGCATGAGTGAACAGGAATTGCATTTGTTTTTACCGTATAGCAATGTAACTTTACATGGTAGACTCAGTGGTGTGTTCATGGGAGTCAGGACGGGGTGATGGTACATGGTGCAGGGGAGGTGAGATGTAGGGTAGAACTTTGTTGGGTAAATGGGATAAGGGTCAAGAGGACATGTATGCCCCTCCCCCTCCTCTCTTTCTCTCTCTCTCTCTCTCTCTGTCCGGGTATGCTTGTGCATATCTTGACAATCCATTAGACAATCAACATTCAGCAATCAATCACTTAATCAACAATGTATCAGTCAATCGGTCAATCAATTAATCATTCAAGCATTCAGTCACCATTCAGTATTTCAATCAATTTAATCATTCAATAAATCAATCATAATTAATCAATAACTCAATCTATCAACCAACTAACAAGTCATTTTAGCACTTGAGTTTCGCACAAGAAATACGTTACAGTTTAACACAAATTCACAAATTTGTAAAAGTGAACATGTCAGTCTTTCTTTTCAGTTTTCAATTTTACAACTGTTTCATCCATCTTGTAAGAGAAAAAAAGGGGAGAAAATATCCGATAATGGAAACTAAATTTAAAAGTCTCCCAGTTCAATGGCCAACATGTCCACCTCCTCTTTAGATGCACAATCTTGGTGAAGGTTTTTATTCAAAGTCACAGATGTAAAAAAAAAAAAAAAAAAAAAAGTTTGTAACATGGAAATTACAACATGTACCATCACCCCACCCTGACTCCCATGAGCACACCACTGAGTCTACCAGGGAAATTTACAATACTACACTAAAAATTTAATTCCTGTCACTCATGCATAAAAGTTTGGTTTAATAAACCATGAAATTCACTCAGCAAATCATGAATGCATCATATCACCCTCAATTTTGTTAGCCCCAAACGATTTACCTCTCACAAATTGAAAGGCTAATTCCTGCGCAACTTAATTTCCATACCCTTTACAAAAGTGAGCAGTGCTCACCCAAGCATGAATTATTTTCGGACAATTTGGTGTTATATGAAAGTTGAGTTTATGAGCTTTCTATACATATAAAACTTTTCCCCAGAAATTATATATTTATTTTTTTTGGCAGCCATTTCAAAAGTGTATAGTTTTTTTGGGGGACGCACTGTATACCATGGAATGGCCTTATGCGTTATCTGAAATATTTGAAATTTACCGGGAGCCCCGGTAAATCTTTGATTATTCAATTCTCGAAAGCAAAAGTGTTTTAGGGGCTTTATTTTCTAGTGCTCATAAAACACTCACAGAGGCATACAAATATATACAAATTGTAAAGATTTACTATCCATCTACATTTCAAAATTTCCCAACATTTTGCATTACCTTCAAAGTATATTTTTTTCATTTTCAGCTCCTCCGATAGAACCCTTTCCCTTTATCGATGAATGTCGAGGAATACTTCCAAAGGACGCTGAACAATCCTGTATTATTCCATCCTCTGATAGCATCACCATAACCTGCTCAGCCTCAAGCTACTTTCCAGACATCGATCTCTTCTTCTTACACGAATCCAGAAAGATGGGTGCAACAAATACCGAGGAAGATGCAAACATGGACGGTACGAGAAACAAATCAATCTCCATCGTCGCTGAACCCAGTGAAATCCCCTATGTTTGTGTCGCTTCTGATATCCCGGGATTGCAAGACCAAAGGAACGTCACCGTCACCGTGACCTTGCTAGAATCTACTGTTACCATGACAACATCCTCCAATCAAACCACGTTATCACCGAGTCCGAATGGAGGTATAGCCACATTGGTAAGAACTCACGACGAATTATTATTGTATGTAGAGTTGATAGATATAGTAAACAACTGCCATCATCTAGAACAAACCCGTTGTCGGCTAGGTCACTACGCCCTCTCGCTGCAAAGTCAAACATACAGGTTTGCACTTCTAATAAACTAGTTGAGAAGGCCTTATCTAGAGTATCGGTAAACTTTATCCACACAAGGTACCTTTGAATGTGTACGACATCAAGGAATTAGTCAATCGTGTTTGGACTGTTTTTGAAGGTACCGATGATTGATATGTCATAATTCAAGATCTTGTGTACCATTTGCTTTTTGAGAAAAGGAAGCGGGGATAATTTCCTTATGTATCGGGAAATCACACTAATTCCCATATATGTCATGGGTCGACAAGCATATTTAGATCCAAAAATTAACCGAACAGTAATGACGAATGATTAGTATTTCTAATGAATGGTTACTCGTTAGAAGGAAAACAATGTTTTGTCACATGTCCGCTATCAACCTATTACGTGGTAAGCATTTAGGTCATAATTCTATAATTGTGACTAGCGACCCGTTACAAAATAAAGATGTTGGATGTTACACATTTAAGTTAACCTGACTTCATTAACTGAATATTATTGACTGAATATAAGCAGTACTTACCACATGGGAACATGAAATACAGTTTGTAAACGATCACCATACATTGTAAAAACTTAAATGTGAAATCACCATTTCAAAAGGCCGAAGAATGACTACTTCTTTTAAATGTCAGATCAACACTTTTAATATGATACGTGTACATGTAAATTTAACATTTATGTTGTAGGATCCATCATGTTCAAAACGTTGATCTGATATGGTTTTAATGGTGATTTAACATTACAGTATGTGATGAGTTGTACGAGAAAAGAGTACGACGTAAACTTGTATTCACTGACAGATTCTTTATTTGCAGTTGTACCAGTTATCGTGGTCTTTCTTATATTGGCTGTGGTTTGTGTTTGTGTTGCCATCATAATCTGGCGTCGGAAGAAACAACGAAGGATTCAAGGTGTGTTTATATATATGGCTCATCATCACTTGGTTGAGTTATGAACACTAATCATAATCAGTTTTGCAAAGAAAATATGATAGGTCGTAGTGCAAAGTTAATGGATTGTTTTCTTTTTACGGAGCCATATTTCCCACTTTTTCTATGACTACGATGTCATTGTTTATGGCAATGTTGTTTAGATAGATGCATATATATCCTAATATGTTAATTTTGTATTTTTATGAACCTTTGATCATCACGGAATATAATCTTAAACGAAACAAATTTGAGAAAAATTTCATTTAAAAATGATCTCGGGTAATATCAATAGATTTATATCTAATTTGTTTATCAACAGACCAACACATTAATGTTGTACGTAAGCTTCTACGAGTACCAAAATAGCAATGCAATTGAATACACCAAAGATAAATTTTTAGAAGCTTAGTCATACTGTGAAATCGCACAAGGCAAACTATTTTCACATTTACTGTGAATAATGATGTACTATAGAAAAATAATAATGATAACAGAAGCTTCATTTGCATATCGCATAAAAATACGTCCAATTCCTGTAAATGAGACCAGTTTTGGAAACGCCCCCTCTCAACAAATGAAATGGACGCTCTTATTACAAATCATTTGAAAGAATATGTTTTGACTAATACGTGATGATACAAATTTTGCCGGGAAACCGCCTACTTATTGATATATTTGTTAAATTATCATATCGATCCAGCCTTGATAGATATCGTGTAGTCCCAAATACATATTTTTGTGTACAGTGCTTGTAACTTTACCAAGAATGGGCCTAATTTCTTATGATGTTGATGATTCCAGAACCTTGCAGTACACACCATATATGCTAGATGATCAACCATTTCTGATCGATTCCACAGCATATCTTTCATAATACAATCGCATGACCAAAACTGGTCCATACCGTTAACATGGACTAAGGTTCAATGCGTTGGACGCCCCTGAGGAAAATGACTTTCGACCGCATAGATTCAATGGTAATTGCTCAGGTTTTCCTTTTTTTTTCCGTACAGAAAAAGACGAAGAGGAATCCATGCCACTACATCTAGACCGACAGATAAATGGTAACTCCTTATATTGATTTATCATGACACAAATTAAGAATCAAATTATTTCCTTGCAGATACTTACAACAACAAAAATCACACACACATGCACACACAAACATATTCGCAATCCCCCCCCCCCCCCCACCACATGCAGTCATAATTACTAGCAAGTTGCTTTAGGAAATGTTACCAGTATGTACTTTATATATATGTATATGCATAATGCTTGAATCACTTTGTTTTCAGCAAGGGTCTTTGCTTTTCTTCTCTCTTGTTTTATGTTTATACTATAAACGATAAAGTGCGAAGTCCATATAGTTGACGGTTGTCATTATGTTAGCGTAAGTTTCATGCAATAATATACTTTTCTAATTTCTTTTGATGCAAACTCTAGTATGGTCAAAAATAAATACTCAACAGTTTGTGGGTTATAATAAATTCTCTCAGGGAAAGTATCCTTCTTTGAACTGTGGTACCTGGTTAATAATATGGATGAGGCAAACTTAAAAATGCTACGGGACGCCCTCCTCTATCTGGGAATTCCTGGAGTAGGGAAAGAACTAACTACAGACACGGCCTTTGCCTTACTTTGTGACTGGAAGGATAAATCATTTGACAGAGAAGGATCAAGATTGAAGAAAGCACTCATCGAAAAGGGACTTGCCCGTTCCTGGAAAGATATGTGTGGTGAGTATTGATTCCAAATCTTGATCTCAAAGTCACAATGTATCAGGTGTAAATGTTAAAGCAAACATTGCCAAGCAACCAGTGCTAATTATCTAGAACGTTAAATGCACTATGTTTGAAGTCAGATACAATAGATAAGAAAAGGAGATCAGATCGAATTTAAACGAATTCGCACGAGAATCTCAGCAATGGATACTCTTTATAAGTTTGTTGAATATTATGGAAATAAATACGTCTTTAATACCATGTATATGGAAGATGAACCCAGCATTTATTGTTTTACTATTTTATTCGATATTTACTATAATGATTATTACTTTTTTCTGAAGAACGGAGATTGGAGACAAAGTCTGGTGTTTCCGAAGAGCTTTTGGATCATATTTTATGGAACATCGGTGATGAAATTAACATTAGTCAATTCCTTAGTGAACTGATCGCCGATAAACGTGAAACCCGATGTAATGTGTCAGGAAATAAAGGATACGTTTTCAAGGAATCCCTGGTTGTCTTGAGGGAGTGGAGTGAGGGAACACAGACTGAAAGCCAAGCCATTCAATTAAGTCTAGCTTTAGAAAGAGCTAATTGCAAGCCTCTAGATCGGACTTTCTTCAAGGGTGAGTCCATGTCTTATTTTCCAAGGTTTCAATTGCTGCAATTTATTTATGATGGATTGATTGTGCTTGTTTCTTGTAAAATTAAAACTCTCCCGTCATTCATATAGATACAGAACAGTTTTTAATACAGTTTTAAGGAAAATTGTAATGATTTGGGATTGATATGATGGACGGAACCTGGAAGAAGGTTGTACCATCTTTTTTCATGTTCTTTCTTTCATCCTCTCTATATCCCCGTCTCTCTTTTTTCCTAGCGCTTTTCCTTCTGACAAGGGTGCGCCCGTGTTTTCCCTTGTAGATGCACCTGTGGGTGCCACTACAAATAGTTTTAGTTAGTTTTATTCTTACACGTTTTCTTCTGAATTCTCTTTTTCCCGTATGCATAATACAGGGACCACTAGGCAATGGGTAACATTTAATTTACGTCTCACTTAGTAATTCATTTATCGAGATATCTGTTCACTAACATAGTTACATGGTACAACATGTGAGGGACCTAGACGGGAAGAGGGATGGAGACATCTTGTGACATCTTCTTCATGTATTTATTTCTGACAGCCAGTACCTGCGCTACTGGGTACCAATGCTAATAATTATAATCACACAGAGGTATATTTACAAATTGTAAATATACCTCTGTAACCACTGGACATTTCGTGACTTCTTATTGTTTGTTTGTTCGTAGTTCCTGAACATCTGCTGAAGGCGATATCCCCACAAGAGGTAGAAGGGTTCGTTTACAGACTGACAGGAAGACATTGTAAGAGGCTTGCTAAGGCTGTAGGAAGTACCGATGAGAAGGTGATTACCACCCTCATTAATGACAATAATGACGATCTGTTCGACACTCAATCAATGATCATGGACTGGGTAGATGGACAGGAAAGCAGCAACTTCGAGAAGAGATGCAGGCTTGATGATGCCATCATCACAATTGGTCGCCATGACATGACAGGTATTAGATCCATTAAACAATCATTTTGTAATGTATTTTTTCATTTCGTATGTTCACTACCCAATCAATTCATTAATTGATTAAGTTATTTATTAATCTTATAATTATATAAAGAGACCATCTTCACTTGTGTGTGATACTTAAGAGCCTTGTATCAGGTAACTCATCACGATTTTTGGGGACATGTTTATTCTTCTTCAATATATACGTTAAGAGACTACTTTTAAGACAGGGCATAAACATTATCAATTTTTTCTTCTTCTGTGTTTCAGATTCATTTGGGACAACCATCTATCGGGTTAAAACAGGAGGTACTGTACAAAGACCACATCCAGATGCCAAGAAATTCAGTGAGTTTGCATTTTTTCTAGTCAGTTAACAACAATAATTGTGTGTTCTATTTATACCTCCCTACCTATATAATGAAATGACTCCGATTTAAAGAAGAACACAAGTACTACTCCATCCCTCGCCGCATAATCTTGTTCGATTACTTCAACACTTGTTAAAAGTAACAATGGCATTTTGGAAGGTAGACTTCTCCCGATCCGAATAACGAAGGTTAATTCCTGTCAGAATCATTTATATTTACTGCTTTATTAATACTACATCCTTGTCCAAGTTAATATAGCCAAACTTCTTATTCCTTTAATCAAACATTTAAATGTCAACAGTGGCATTTTCCCGCTTGTTTTGCAAGCAGAAATACGATTGATTGTCAAATAATTGTGTTATGCCTTCACTTTTGTCATATTCTATTCCAAAATGAAAATGACACAACATACGCTTTTTTTTACAGACAGTGCACTGATCTACGAAAAACTAAAATTGTCCAGATGTAAGACTTAATTTTACAAAACAAAGGGAAGTCTCGAAAAAGAACACTGAAAACAATGTTTTCATATATTAGAATCAATCTATGTATGTATTTACTTGGTTTGAGCCCTCTGTCGCTCAACAAATTATTTAAAGCTTATAAACCTTATCATGAATATTTGAACATGTACCATCCTAGCATTTTTTAAACTACTACTGTGACAACTGACCTTTGCTTTACACACAGATAGTACTAGCATTTTTAATGATGATCTACATGCGTTGCTGAAGCATCTTCCTAAAGGTGCGGTATCAGTGTTTCTTGAGAAGCTCGGCATCTCAATTGATGAGGATATGGACGATATGAAAGAGAGGCTGACAGGTTGGAGGGACGATCATCTGAGAGGATCTAAAGTATGTTCTCTACAGGAACTTGTTTTGATCCACAAAGATGTGCTGAAGAAGACAAATAACAATAATGGTAATTGTTTGAATCGATAAAATATTATTTGGTATCATCGCATCCGAAAGAAGATGACTTACCCCGTGCAAATATATTTTTACCGATGAATCTAAAAGAGTGAAAAACATTGTTTTTTCGTCTAGAAATATATTGCCTGACACTGCGTCAGACAAATAATAAAACTCTAAATTCCTGCTAGATTATTACCATATTTGTATTGCAACAGAAAGCTGAATTTACCATATTCTATCACTTATTTAGTTAAAAGTACATTAAGTAAATTCATCCTTCCTTCAAACATTATACAATTGCTCTAAAAGGGACTCTTAGAAAGAATGTCTGTCGGGACACACCTGTCAATTGTATTCATTTCTGTGCTGTACATTTATTCAATTAATATTTTCTTAAGTACTCGACTTAAAAGACGAGGAGCTAGAGGATGTGTTTGCAAGCATATCTTCCAGGGAACAGATGGACCAGCTAAAGTCAGGGATTGGAATAGCTATCAAAGAGGGGCCTTTCACTCTAGAGCATCTTAAAGAATGGAGAAATAGCCAAGGCATGGAGAAACGTCGAGAGAATCTAAGAAAAACGCTCCATGATATGAAATTATCAGGTTCGTACAGTTATTTCTTTCCCAAATACAAAAGTCTACACAGGCATTGTTCACTCTACAATTCGTCGCTGTTTTCACGAAGTGACGGTAGTGAAAAAACAATGCATTCACTTTGCGTTACGATTTTCCTCACTACCGTCACTTCGTGAAAACAAGGACGAATTAAGATATCAAGAAACATTAAAGTCAAACATATACCCATTATAGTAAAGATAATCATACAATTGCTACATATCATAATAGTCTGCATAGTCTTACAAGTCAGACACGTCGCTAAGCACTCCAAGTTACATTGGCTTTTGCCTGCAAATTAATCTTCCTACACGATTGTGATACTTCTTATATACTTACCATCGAGCTAATTGCGCAAGTCTACTCGTTTATCTTTTAGGATGCGTTGTTGATCGGCGTCCTCCACAACATGTGTACAGAGCTGAGATGGTACGTTTAGCGTTCACTATGCTATATACTGACGTTAGACCATTGGCCGAACTTCTCAACATGGATACGAGCAAAGGAAAAATAGTGCGAGAACCCCAGAAAGGGACTGTAGGTCTGTTACTCCAACTATTGGAGAAATCGAGGGATAGCGGCACACATCGCCGCCGTGATTTCTGTGTCGCCATTAGAGATCTTGGATATCTGGATGTTGCTCGATTAGCTTATTTCGGTGAGCAAACATTATACATTTTGGGGGGCATTTTTTTACCCGCTTTTTTGATATCACTAATTTAAAGAAATTGTTCCTTTTTATTTGTCATGCGAAAATCCGATCGAATGTGTGCATAGGCACTGGAAGGGGTTCGTGAGCTGACATGGGTGTTAATTTGGATAATAACTGTGAACCTAGAAGAACAGTATTGGCCAGTGTAATTTTCTAGTCTTTGAGTTGTGTGCTTTGTGTATCAAACTACACATCGACCCTTGAATTCGAAAATAACAGTGCTAAATTGTGTGATTTGTTGGAGCAGCTGGACGGTAGAGATACTGCTACAGACGGCTTTACAAAGATTTAGGCAGTTTTCCCTCGCGACGGTAATTTAAGGGAGCCAGTGTTTTTGCATGGCCTAAAGACTGGTGTCATTGCTTGTTCAATTTGTGCTTAAAGTAGCATTCGACAAATAGGGTCGGATAGCCATTTAGCGTGAGATATTCTCATTATGGTCAACATGGCTGATCTCTGCTGCGGGTTTACATGGATAACTGATTCTCCGTGCTCGATCAATGAGAATTAAAAAAAGCCCATTTTGTACTGGTACTACTGAACGTGTAAAGGCACATCTGTTGACCTATACAGCCATAGGTTTCCAATAAGCGTAGGTACCGAAGGAATATGCGTTCATGACTGCTATACCATGACTTCAAATTCCAATTTCAAAAGAAAAATATCTGTCCTATCCTACACTGAGATCAGTTCAAGTACGTTAGCATTATGTCGAAAATAACATCAACATCATTATTTAAAAAAAGATCTTCCGAACATGAAGAGGTCCAATATAGTAAGTTATATAAAAGAAGAAACGTACAAGCATTAGTTCGCAGTAATAAACACTCTGCGAAAATGTATGTATCTATTTGATTAAAAAGAATCAAATATTTTGCAACTGATCTTCAGAAACAGCCTCCTCTAGTACATGACATGTATAAGAAAATGGAAATGCTAGGTTATTGTATATTTCTGTAATAATATCTTCTCAGAGTTTGATGGGAAGTTTTCTTCATCTCTCGCACTTAGATATGCTAATGATTTAATTAAATGATTCAACTTCTTTTGTCCGATTTGTTTGCATACAGATTACGATGAAAGCCTTAGTGTACTCTACAACGTTACTTCAAAACTGTCGCAACAGGAAATGGAAATGTTAATGAAGCATCTTGACTCTGATAAAGCGGTCCTGTCGATAGGTCGGGTGAGAACTCGGAGCGCGGGGACATACGACAACCTAATGCTTATGAAGAGATGGAGAGATCAGTTCAGACTGGAACCTTTCCACCACAGCTCGAAGCTGGTTCATGGTCTTCGAGCAATTGGGCGAACGGGACTTGCAGAGGAAGTCCTTGGAGGTGAGTAACGCATCGACAAACCTTGCATGCCCAAATACCAAGTGATGGTGCTTAAAAGTTTTCTTGATGTTTATTTATACTACCTTGCTCTTGCAGCGCAATACATTATATGTGCATTGTTTCTGCGCTCAATACATGTATATGTTTGTTGTTGTTAATACTTTTCCTATTATCATCATTTTCATTGGTACTATTCCTTTTATTTGGACGAGATAATGTGTTCGTTTTTAATGTTATTTTTTGAAATTATTGAACAACCGCACATTTTCCAACTGATTTCTTTCTCTTCATAGGTCTGAACCAACATATGCAAATGAGTGGAGCAGTAGCAATACACATTTGCAACAGTCTCGATGACGATCAACTGCAGAGACTATGTGTACACCTCAGACTACGTACAACAAAACGTCAGGAGGATCGGACTACTACATCAACGGCCGTCGTGGAATGGATGCAGAATTGTGTAAAACACTTTGACAAAATTCCTGCGCTGAACAAAATAGTAAAGAACAAATTCGATTTTCGAAAACATGAGAACAACGAACTTTTCAAGGCAGGATTTTCCGAACTTGCAGAGGAAATCATGCTACTCCAGTACCCTAGATTCTCTAGGACTGTGTAGCCATAATGTCCTTTGACAAGAAATGAATCTACATTTGTGTTACTCTCAATTAACATGTCTTAAATATTGGTGCATGGTATAAGGTGATTGATTCAATGCTTAGTGAAGAGCAGCTGGACTAAAAACATGGTAATAGTATAATGTAGGTTACATGTATGGGCTGTAGAAATGAAACTATTATTGTCATTTTTATTTGTTAACGGTTGTAAACGGGCGGAAATAATTCTTTTTTTCAATAAGTTTCGTTGTGGTAGTCCACACATACCCTTCGCCAAGTTGTGTGGGGTTGTAGTGCATAGACTGGTGTTTTTATACTAGACCAATACGTAGGGAATGTACGCATGCACTCCAATCTTTAAAACATTATGTAGTTACAATTATCTACCCCGTCCCTTAAGACATTTGTTATAGTTATAGTTATTAGTTCTAATGTTTTGTTGGAATGTTCAAATACTAAATACTTTATGAAGGGGAAAAGAGTAAACTTTTAGATGGTCCACCCAATTTTGTATAATGTTAATAATGCGGCGGTTGCTCTATATGCATTGATCTCCAAACGTGTCTGCAAACGACTCATCGGGAAAACTCTTCGTATCTTTCAACACAGTGGGGATTGTGTGTCATATAGTGTAATATAAATGTATTGTGGGGAAGAAAAAAAAAAATCAGTGCTGTCTTTTGTCATTTTTGCAATGCTTTGTATAACTTGTACGCTGTCGTACCCATTTGTAAAGTGACATGGTTTTATTATAATATTGATGATTACAATTTTATTTCTCTTCTCTTTTAAAATTATGCTTACTCAATAAGTAATGATGTATTATTTATTTCCTCAATTTCGAATTTAATATCTGGGCAGATCGTATTTATGGGCAGAAGGTATTGTTCATCCTCTTAAGATTTACAATCCGTTGAGAATACATTGAAACTGTTTTCTCTTAACTCATAGCATGCCATGAGGGTACATGCACGCTACCGTTATAGTGCTTTGTACATGCAAGCTAACCACTGATTCACTGCCATGTGCGTGCAAGGGCGCATTCGTAATAACAGTTATTGTTCATGCTTAATATTGGACTGTACTGTGTGTTTCGCATGCGCTATCAATGGGGATTAGCCCTGTGGCATGATAATAGTTAAAGTGTTTGGTTTTAGAGTGTGGCTACAATGAAAATACTCATCCATCATTTTCAGAGCACTTTCTCGCTTAACGAACCCCGAAACTTAAAGCTGTTTCTTTACTATTCCCACCGACATATGTGTATTCGTTTTTAGAAGCAGGTTGATCCGCAACAAATATTTTCATTTCAGGCAATGACAAGTAAAAAGTTACTGCTGATTGTGGAAAATGTTCGGGACATCAGAAATGTTAGAGTTTGCTCACAAGACGATTATCAAATACTTGCCATACCTGTATAGATTAAAATGTGGATGGATTGTTTATGCAACATTTCTGATCAGCAGTGTAAGACTATTCGTCAGGTAATAATACAATTTACCTAAATAGATGCAAATTAGCTAAACCAAATATATCTGACTTTTATTTCCTTATTCATCAAAGCGTACACAATGGAAAGATACATTGCTAATCGTAATGATAAAAAGCTGCCAATGACAGCAGATGGCAGGTCATGGCCTAGTGGACATCCATTGTCAGATAAGTGAATAAAGATACATTACACTATGTAATCAAATGTTCGTTTTCACTGGTGTTTGAATCATTTGTCAAGTATATCACTGTACCTAGAAGTGTATAATACAGATGAAATGAAAAAAACAAAAACAAATCAAATGTGATTCAATCCGATTCAGATGTAATGTGTAGTGTAACTTTAGAGGTATATAGCAACCAGTGTTTTTTTATTTTTTATATAATTGTAATATTATACACAGATCTTATTTATAGGATTTGGAAACACATTGTGTATTTTTTAATGAACTTTATTTCAGGTTTTAGATAACGAGAGTCAGACTCGACTAGCACATGTGCTATTTTTTATTCTATCTTACCATCAATCACAAACCCATTGTAAATAGTCATTTATTGTTTTACTTGACACTAAAATTACTTATAACTATTTTTTAATATGTGTATATTGTACATATATATCGCTGTAGAACATGTATTTTTATAAAATTATGTCATGTTTGTATGTTATATTGACATCATGTACATTTATATATATCTTTTGTTTCAATGTTTCAATGTAGGTGAATAAAACATTTCAAATAAATTACAATAACATTCAATAGGTTACCACTTGGTAAATGTAGCCTTGGGCCTTGTTCATACTTCTGTGTTGAAATACCAAAACTTATTGTCTTTGCTTATAGCAGGGACTATTGTTGAAAAATGTTGACTATGTTAAACAAAAAAGTATAATTCTTTTTGTGATATAAGTATAATTCATGTGTTTTTCTTTGTAATCGAGATAAGTTTGTGTAACTGATGTACGTATTATTATTCAATTAATAAATGATAGAGAAAAAAAGAAGGAAAAAAAAGTGAAAAGGGACTATTGTGTTTGCTTAAAACCCATACTAAAGTGAGCTTATTGTTGTAAGGTAAATTGCATATGTGCAAGTGAAATTATTTAAGTTACCATGTGAATAAAGACATATATATTTAATGGTACAGGGTAAATTTGTAGCAAGATTGTTATTTTAAAGGTTGGGGAAATTTTGAAAAAATGGATGGATAATGACTATTTACAATTTTGATATATTTGGATGTCCCTGTATTATAAGCATTAGATAATTTAGCACCTGAAACACTTCTGCTTTCGAGTAAAATTAAATAAAAACAAATTTAACTGTGCTCGCGGTTAATTTAATAAATTTCAAATAGCGGCCTACGGTCGTACAATGCACTCTAAAAATAGAGTGCAAAATTTTGCTGTGCAAAATCGCTGTTTAAAAAAGTTGGGTAAAGTATTACCCAACCTTGAGCGAAACACCAAGTCCCTTCGAAATTTAATTACGCTTGCCATAGTGTCATATCAAAATTGGACTGTGCGCATTTCCGGGGGAAGAAAGTAACGATGCAGATTAATATTTGAACCACGCGTTGGGTAAACACAAGCTTTGACACCTAAACGTTGGTATTATGACACAACTGATGTTAAAAACTATGATTGAAGCGCTAGCGTGGTCGGTCGTTCCAAATTAGCTGTTCATCGAATTTATCGTGTTCAAGATCGACAGAGGATGGACGACTTTGTTCGAAATAGACTACGATCATGCACCTGTGTCTTTCCGCAGCATTTATTTGCATGAATGCGTGTAAATCTTCTCAATATGGACATGAAATTCCTCATAATTCTGGACAACACATTATTCGTATGGAGAATGTCATCCGCGATGCAGTCACCTACTGCGAGCACGCCAAGCGAAAAACTGTCTAGCCAAGAGAGAGAGAGAGGTCTGCTACTTATACACTACACTACATATAGCATGTACTTTTCCAGCCAACTCCTCGGACAAATTCTCTTTTTTACCCAAATCTGTGTAAAAAAAAATCATACAATAAGGCTGGGTTCAAATTTTACCCAACTTTTGGGTAAAAAATTACACAAGAACAAAGTTAACGAGTACCCAGGATGAGTTGGGTAAAAATTACCCAATGTTGTGTCAAAAAGGGAACATGGTTGTCGTTGGGTAGCATTTTACCTTTTACATTAGGTCAAATATATTGCAAATCAGTTGGGTGAGACATTAACAATTTGCTGGGTAAATTTTTACTCAACCACCCCTGTGTCAAATTTTACCCAACAAACATGCATGTTCCCTTTTTACCCTCGTAAAGTGTAAAATTTTATCTCTTTTTAGAGTGTGGTAGCTGTGACCATGAACATCTCAGAATATGTAGTTGTGATATAAAGTTTCCAAACGGGAATAGCTTATCTGTCGATTTTAGTCAAGACACATTGTTTTATAGCTTGATTAATATCTTGACCTTGAGAGGGAGCTATACAACATAAAGAGTGTATTATTTACAATTTCATAACTTTAGACTCGATTTCAACTCCGACAACGATCACTGAATATTGTAGGTTCGCATATGCTTCCAATATGTTCATTATAACCAAATTCATTACCCCATACCAAAACTTTGTCTTACCTTTAAGACCTGCTGTTGTATAGTTGTATCACAAATTAAACTTATGCCATATCTAAAATAAACGTTAGCATTTTCCTTAATGTCTGGAAGGGTTTACGCTCAAATTTTCTCTTAATACAAACATGTGTTAATAAAACGGCCAAAGCCTTTGAACAGAATATGGTAATAGTTTCATAATTTGTTCTCTCTCTCTCTCTCTCTCTCTCTTTCTCTCTCTCTCTCTTTCTCTTTCGTTTGTTTCCCATTCGCATGAAAATAGATACAGATTAATAAATGCCATTTGTTTGCATAGTCCCAAGCAGTTACATAAATGTATCTAAATAAGAATTTGCCATCTTGTAGAATTTAATCATATTGATCAATAAGTCTACAATTCCAAATTAAATCAGTTTTGTTGTGCATACCCTTCTTATCAATGTCAGTGTGCATATGATGTTAGCGCAAGGCCACGTCAATTTCATGAATACATGTTGCATGATATACATGTATAAGCTCCCATATCATTTTAAGATTAATGTTGTGGATATTATTTTTGTTCACGTGATATGCAAGGGCGACGTGAGATTGATACGTGTACTGGATGGGCGAAGTGCCAACATAATGAAACAAACATTGCAAGATATGGAAAGGTGAACTTCGCACCCTATTCGCAAAGCGTGCAGGCACGAGATGTGGGGCTTTCAATAAAAATCCCATTTAATTTGAGTGTATGCAATATAATCCTTTCAAATAGAAAGAAGCACGATTCTAACGAACTTGCCTCTACACATAATGTATGTAAATGTACACAGTGAAGCAGCACGGATCCGGCCATTAACGGGGCAGGGGAATGCTTTTGTAGGAGGGAGGGGGTAGGGGCAGTAGTGTGGGTTACTTTATTGCAAAGTACATGTACAAGCCTAGCGATTGGTGGGGTTATGTAGGGTCCTATATTCCCACCACAATTACTTTCCAGCCTCTCTTTAACTTCATCCTTTTTATTATTTCATGTCTGCTTAGCAATGGGGGAGGCACACGTGGTAAATTACGCCGTGTAGCTACGTAAATATCCTTAATCTATGCGAAAACCTTTCAAACTTGACAGGGGCATAACATAAATCAACCCGAATCTACCTTAGAGTAGTTTGCACAGACTATCAATGTACAATGAACTACCAAGCGGCCCAAGGAGAGTGAAAATGCATACAATAAAATAAATCGATAAAGAGAGAGAGAGAGAGAGAGAGAGAGAAGTGACTTCACATACAATATCTTCAAAATGTGTGCCTTGACATGATATATTTGAGAGTAAATGCATTTTTATGATATTCATGTATGCTTAAAACATAACTGAACTGATGAACCTGAATGATTATTTTGAGTTAAAATATCTAGAGCAAATTTTGAGAGAGCTCCAAAATGCACGATTACAAAAATATAGATTCAAAAGTCTTTTAACGTGGGGGGGGGGGCACCCCCTCTAAAACCCTTCTCATCGCTCGCTTTGTTCCCTCACTTGTCCGTCTGACGCCACATCAAAGATGCCCCACGATGTTTACCTTGTTTTTATCAACATCTGATTATCTGCATTATCCAATCTTTAATTTAAAGGGTATGATATAAATACATTCTCTCAGATAATCAAGTTGCAAGGGAGTCTACAACATAAATAAATGGTAAAGGTGGTGCAAATTATCCAATATACAGTGCGACCCAGGCAAAAACGAAACTGAAAACTATCGCTATTTCATCATAACTTAATCACAATTATAATTGATAAATGACACATATTTGTAAAGCTTAGATCCTCTTCTTTCATTTGATGCAACTCATCTAATGCATATTTCACGCATGAGTGATTAAAGAGAATAAACCAAAAAGTAATTTGCCGGTCGGTATCTGAGATTCAAAGAGAAAATTACATTTCCAGAAAGTTGAGTTTCTGCCCTTTCATATGACTCCTCAATCAGGGAAAAATGAGCTAGGGATAACAAAGTTATGTTTGTTTAAAGTAGTGCTTGCATTTCCATAATTGTATTAAACGAATTCATTTTCACTGGCTGCGTTCCGTAGCAAAAAGCGGAATTAACCAAAGGCTTAAACTCCGTTTCGTTGACAATATAGCCGCAGACGAAAGACTTTATGCATGGCTGTATGCATTATCCAGTGCCATCTTTAGACACAATTTAGCCAGTTTGGTTTTACTTTGTCACAACATAGCGTATATTTGGATCGTTGTCGCCACATGAATGACAATGGCGGCCCGATTTATACAGTTGCTCTGCATGTCATACAATATATGGATGATATTTCATGTGTGCTCGCTACATGGTAAGTCTGTTCTAATTCCGATGCAAGCTATCTATATAATCATGAACTTGCTATTATCGCCATGCTGCACGTACATTCATTCCAAAGTCAGCCATGATAGATAGGGAGGCCACTTGGCATTATGTATGGTATTACTGAACTCAGACAACAGTAGAAAAAAAAAGCTGTTGTGCTGTTGTTAGTCTGATGAAGAAAAAAAACAGGTTCAAAGGGAATATACCCAGGACATTAACCTGCTGATACCGTGTGCTATTCAAAACTTAAAGATAAAGTTGAGTTCTGGTCATGCAATTGTACTGTGAAAGGATCGGTTTGGAATCAATCAGAACAGATTGATCATCTAGCATACAAGTGATGGTGTGTACTGCAAGGTTCTGGAATTATCAAAATGATAATAAATTTGGCCTCGTCTTGTTAAAGTTACAAGCACCGTACACAGGAGTATGAATATGGGGCTACACGAACATGTGGCATAAACATCCGTCCCGATTTTTATGTTGCTTCATGCCATATTTAGAATATAAAAGCATTTGAAGAGCCATGCTTTTCAAGGAACAATGTGTATCTGATATTCTCCCACACTTGCCGAATTAGAATGATAACGCTCACAAATCATTTTAACCTCTTCCCATAACAGTTACTCAGCATTGTTCATGTGGTTGAACGAGCAAGTGTGCGC